TAGGTGTTCTCTATAGCACTGAAACTTTTGCTATCCCCATCTCCAAATAATGTATCATACATGAGGTTGTGGGAACTTACTGAGCGGTTGAAAATTCGTTTCGTCCCTTCTGGTTCCATGGCTGGTGCTGAACCACTATAGTTTGCTTTGCATTTTGGTGCATGTTCTGCTTTCCAAAGTTCATTTTCTCTAGTTGTATTCTTTCCCTCATGCTTCCTGCATTTATTACATACTTTGCTTAAAGGTTCAATGTCAAGAACTTTGCCTGTTCCCATGGAAATAACAGTAACGCAACCATGCAGTGACGAAAAACCCCTCCTGGCTTTGCCACGTTCCATCGCATGAAACAGATGTTTTCAGAATTCCATCTTCATCAACTTCTGCACTGTTCAATTTGTGGATTTCTTGGGCTGCATCATTCATGGTTTCTTCTGCAACATCTTTTACAGCACGTAATATAGCTTTGTTATGGTAGTCAAACGCTTTAGGGTTAACTGGCGGTGGCATGTTCATGGTAGAACAAAACATCTGCATTGCTGCTAACCCACAACCAATCAACCTCATGGCATAGGTCATTCTTCTGTTTATTTAAAAACAATGGCCAAGCTTTTCAGAGCTATAAAAGACTTCAGACCATCCACACGAGCTACACCAAACTGAAAGACATGATGCACATCCCATACGCTGAGAATCATCTTCAATGAGCATCAACTGACATTCATTGCATTTCTTGCAGGGTAATAGTTTAAATATAGTTCCCAAAATCCCAAGATTTATAAATCGGTAGCCACTTACTTCATTTTTGTTTAAGTTAGGCATCTGTTTGTTACCCAAATTAATTTTCCGAGCTGATGCTGACACTGAAGTATCACATGTACTTTCGGCAGTCGATGGATTTTCAACGCTTGATGTTGTTGTTGAGGCACTTTCGCTCATTCGTGTACGCTTTTGTTTTGAATACTGATTTCCACAAAACTTACGCTTTTTTGAGAAACTACTACGATGTTTAGGCATTTTAGATCAACGTTTTCGCAATTTAAACAATTATGTTTGATTAGAAATTTCACACAGAATTCAAGATGGAAGCCAAAATCAAGACACCATTCCCTTGCATTTCGAGAGTATATACTTCATGTAATATATGTTGAAAGCTCCTACACACAGGTCTACTGAGGGGGGAGCGGGTCAGCAAAATTATTCATAAATTTTGGTGGACTTAAACCGACCATTTGCGTGAATTTCAGGACAACAAAAGCGTTGCTAAGGCGGTTGCTAAGTGGCAATTAAAGGAACAGGTTCCTTTTTCTCGATATTTATCCACCTTCCACAACTCATAGAAGGGAAATAACTTGCTACAATGGTAGAGCAGACAGCATAGATTCAAAATTTAGCTATTTTAAAAAAATGAATTTTTCCAAAAATGAAGGTATAAGACCACCATTTAAGTCGGACAGTTGTGATGAGGATTCCCCAACGGGGAGCTTAGTGTAAATTGATTAACAATTTAGGGGAGCCATGTAAGCGCCTCTGCCCATCGGCAGTTGTGCCAGGCCCCTGGACTAAATATATGCGAAGGAAACGTTTTTATCGAAGAATATTTGTACTAGCTGTTGAGTTATAGTTTTACTTATTTATAACTTTTGGTTGTGCGATCTGGACACAAGCGGGAAGAAATCGGTAATATATATACTTTCTATACGATATTGACTTGCTATTTATCGGTTATAACTTATATTAATACATGTTTTGTATTGTATTGTATGTAGTTGACATCTTCTATCATCTATCGTTTGAACATTCTATGCATGTGTGTGTTCTTTGCGTGATACTTGGTAGTTGCTAGTGAACAACAACTCCCTTGATGTGCCCAGATATATGCATCCCTATAAAAGTCGAAGTAGAACAAGGAATTGCGATTTAACGAGTGGGAGTTACACTAACTCTAATCTAACCGAAAGGTATTGTATTAAGGCAATCTTAGGAAAAATCGTAAAGAAAAAAATATGAGAACGAAAAAACAAACATTGGCCATTGCGGGAATCGAACCACCAATTAGCAGCATGTTAGATCGCACGCAACGCTCTAGACAAACACGCCACTGGCACTCGCTGCGATACAAATGCAGAAAATCTAAATATATAGTGGTCACATATATAAATAAAACGATCCGCTCACATTTAATAGTATAAAATATTGTGATGGTATGGCATTTATTGTTTTTCTAGACACGTTAAGGACCTCAAATTTCAGAGAGGTTAGTTTGTGAATTTTCTCAGAGGACGTATTAATTTGCATGTACATGATAAACCAGTCATATTTGTTCTTTGATGGTAAATACGGTATTAGAACGATGGCCCATGTATCTGGAAATATTTCCACTTTCTAAAGTTGTAAAATTCCTTTGGAATTTTGAGTAAAACCTTCGAACTTCGGGCGATGTTATTTAACTAATTTACTAGATGCCGCTGACATGATCTGATATGATCGCGGACGGGGGTCACAGAACGCCCGGGATAAACTGACAACCGAACAGGATGCAGGCAACAAGAAACTCGAACTGCCGAGGAAATAACAGCTGGATTAGCCACACTGTTGACTTACTGATTGAACCACAGCTAGGAATGCTCGGCATGGATGTAGTAGGTAGCTAGTTAACTTTTGTTCGGGCATTTCCTTTTGAAATTTTCAAAGAATTACACTGAAACTAACTTCGGGAAAAAAGCACTATGCGAATGATGCCAGACCCACGTTGTTTTTACTTAATATATTCATGTATTGAATAATCTACATATTCATATGACGCCAGCAAGTGACGTTAGCTAGCGCCTCTTAATTCTCTGCCAATAATAACATTTAACAATACTAATTCAGGTTTTAATAGCACGCTAACGAAGCGTGAGATTGTCCCCCATCGATCGGCAGTGAATACTAATAAAGTAAACAAATAAATTCATTTTACAAGTACGTTAAAATATGAGCAGCTGATCTTTATGGGCATTTAACAATGGGTGCTCGCCATTTTAAATGCGCATAAAGATCAGCTGCTCATATTTTAACTAGTACTTAAAAATTTATACCAAAACAATTATTCGCCTCAGGATCAGTGATTACGGTGAATATTCATCTCGATTTCGTCTCGGTGACCGGTATTAATCACTTGTTAATTATTTTATGTCAACAAAATATCAATACATGGATAGGCTTGGGTAAATTATGCTCGAAAAATTAAATATGGCTATTATGCCCGAATGCAGTGCTCGTTAAAACAATGTATCATGCTCGTGAAACAGCCTATTATGCTCGAATTATGCTCGAATTATGCTCGAATTATGCTCGAGGAAAATTCAACTTTAATAGGTACAAAAAGTCTAACTATAGTCTAATGTTCGGCAAACAAGCCATCTCTGACTTTCTGGCAGCTCTCAATACAGTCTAGCATTTATTAACTAAATTACTTCCTTCTATACTTCTTGCCTTACTTCAGATTCCTCATCGTCTATAACTATGCTTTCAATTTTTCCAGGCCTTTCATTAATGTAAATTATTGTCTTCATCATCATTCTCGTGCCCAGGAACCTGGCGGTTTAACCCGAACCAGTGAACTCTGGGGCCTCTGGGGACTAGCCGAACTCCCTCTCTTTATTAGAAATAATGATTTTTATTTCTTTAGACTCTAGCCCCAAAGCCAAAGCATTATTTTATTATTTTTGAAATATTTCCTAGAAAACGGCCTATTATGCCGACTATGCTCGTAAGTGCAATAAAGTGCCTATTATGCTCCTGAAGCCCTATTATGCTCGAAATTATGCCGCATAATTTACCCAAGCCTATACATGGACCTATAAAGTGATTATATTACATAATACTCATCATGTCTTAATTAACATAATATCAACCGACACACATATAATAGCACAATACACCAACTTGTACAAGGATATATCATAATATATTGATTATTGTGTGTTACGGAGACCTCGGTGTACGTAATGGACGCCGAAATCGAGCAGGATCATGTCCTTGGTTCCGAAACAGCTGTGGTAAGTAAATAAGTAATACTACAGTACAAGAAACGTGGACAACATTTATATTAAAACATGTCCTCGGTATGTGAATGCCGTATAAGGACAGCGATGTTAGCGACAAGGTTTACAAACAAATACCGCCACAAATACCTATTATGTTGCACTGACTTTCAATATTAAAAATGCTTGAGAGATTCAGTTATTTGAAATAAGGTTCACAAAGGCAATAGTTAATATAGCCA